CATTTCCTGTCAGAGGTGAAACGTTTTTAGAGCTCCTATAAATTTTGAACCATTTTAGTGAAAATGCTTCTTAATTAATCCATAATTGAAACTGAAAAGTTCAAAACAACCAAAAAATTTCAGTATTTTCTCGGGGTGTTCAGAGTTTCCCAATCGTTTTTTCAAACTGGTCAGCCATTGCAGCTTGTGATCAATAACTGTTCTGAGAGATTTATGATAGGAAAAAGGTACTGATATTTTCCCGTCTTGAAGGAACACCTAAATCTTTAACAATCTTTATAAATTTTATCTCCTTAATTGATTACCCATTAATATGCTACAAGTATCTCATTGAAAATAAAAACATCATACCAAACAAGCAATGCTTTCTCCCTTCGCAAGAATCTTTGTGAATGTTGCCTGCTTTAACTTTTTTGTCTATAAAGTTCATGAAATGGCTCAGCGGGAAAGTAGAAGTAGACAGATCCAGAAAATCAGAAAAGGATTACTGAAACGCGGCTGAAACTAAACCCATCAAGCAGTAGGTAAGGAAGAAAAAAGTTTCTGGACATCAAAAGAGCAATAAATACATGGCTTACTTGTTCATCGAAAATCGTGTTGAAGAAGGTTCCAGATGACGGATGCTTGCTGCTTTCTCAACAAATGATGAAAGTGACGATGTTGTCGACGTCGACCAGGCTGTTGCTGCTGTCGATTGAGCAGTTGCGACTGTTGACTACCCATAAACGACCGCAGCCGCGTGCGTCTAGTCTCTTATCTTGCCAGTGCCAGTGCCAAAGCTGCCGTGATCAAAGAGACAACTAATCCTATTTAGCTATTGCATAACTTTGCCAAATCCATTGCAGTTCATCAGGATGGAAGAAGAAACACACTACGCTACTTGTCAACACTTTTAATTATTCACTCTGTGACAGGAACCACTCGGCTATATCAGTGATATGGCCACTCAGCTCCTCTTCATCCTACAACATCTTTGCCCATTTTTGATTCATTCTTTGTTCGCATTTATCTACTTAATGTTCAACACTAACGTTCAACACATGCAAGCAGTTCAAATGTGTATTTAACTAACTTTCCCTTCGTATAGTCCCGTTTGAAAAGAGATTAAGTTCGATCTCCAAAGGATTAACTGATTATTTTTTTGTTGATTCACTTCCTTCACTCAAAAGTAGTTCTTGTGAAATGAAGGAAAGGAAGTGAATGTGGATCCTTTGCAGCATATAATTATCGGGCGGCTAATGAAGAAGACTGATGGAACTTTAATCTAGAAAGAAAGTAAAATAGCAATATTAAGGGATTTTATTTGGAGATGTAACATAAGGAGTTTTCAGAAAACTTTTTAGAATTTTAGAAATTAAAATTATTTTCAGCTACTTTTACCGGACACAAACTAGCTTCTACACATTAGGCCAGTCGGAAGTCCTGAGGTTTTGAATAGACTGCTTCAGAAAACCCTCTGCTTTTCATAACCCACCTGTAGAGAAGAAGCTTAAGAAGGCCTTGCTTGAAGTTCTCATCAATATCAAGCCAATCATGCAAATGAATAAATTTTCTGTTAAGATTGTCAAATTCCAAATATTGTCACCGCCAGTTCTAATTAAATGAATTTCAGACCACTATCTATGAGAGGATTTAAATCAATCTACGTGGAAAATTGACAGAAAAAAGTTAAACTTGATTTATCGATGATTGTGAAAAAGCCGTAGCAGGAATGGTGTTGTAACAAAGTAAACCTGCTCGAACATTTAAAAAAAAAATCAAATAAACGAGTAAACCGAACGGTAAATTTAATTAGTAGATTGGAAATTCCCAAAAAAGCGCTGTATTTATGATGCATACACAGCTACTATCTATAAGCCATGTATCAAGTTACAGAGAAGCAAAGCTGGAGATTACCATACTTTATGTTAGCAGCTAGGTCTGCAGCCTGCACAGATGAGTTACCTCGCCTGTCTATCATCTAATAGATAGTTAAATGCTTGTCTGTCTTGCTTGTCTTTAGTAGTTGCATTGATTTTGATTATGTAATAAATGTCGCGAATTCCGATTCGCGAGACTCCAACCATACAAAAATATAATCAAATAAATTTCTTATTGTAAAAATATATCCAATGTTATGACTCATTTAATTAATTCTACATTCCTTAGATTTATTTCCATGTTTTTTCGGTCTTTATCTCAATTCCCATTTTTGTCCGGACGCATCTTTATTTTAAGGATAAAGAATGTCCAATCTGATGCTAATCTTCCCTCTTTTCTTGTTACAATACTTATTATGTAATTGGATCTTTACAGTTTCCTTTGTATCTAAATGAACACCCTTTTTTAACTTTAAAACCACTTCCATTTCCTAATACATATAAACCCTGTTATTAACCGAGTGCGGACTGTTATCAATAAATTGTCTATAATCTGGTGCGTGTATAACTCAACTCAAATCATCGTACCTGAATCAACTCAATCCAATTTAACTCAACGCTACTACAACTCGCGTTATATCGGTGACAGTAGTTGTCTCTTCTTCGACATCACCCTCTCAAACGCACCCTATCAATATTCGCTACAATAACTTGGTCATGGCCATGATTTATATTAGTATTGAATTCCGATAAGGTTTGTTATCCAATCACTCTTTATGTCATTTACTCAAAAAAGAATTGAAGCTGTCAGATGAAATTTCTTAATTTAACTTATGTTCATCTATCGAATGTATCAGAAATAAAGGATAAAGAACTGCCGAAAGCATGCATTAACTTCACCGATCAATGAGCACCTTACAGCGCGCCTACATTTACTCTTTTTCTTTTAGCAAGTAAATTGCTAATGATCTGTTGACTTCGTTACAAATGCTTACTAATTCATTTTAATGTCACAAATTTTACGTGTAATTAAAAAGCAAATGGAGTTCTAATACACTTTTCATAAAAAGTTGCTAAATTCACAATATTTTCGACCATAAGGCTCGACAAGAGGAAGTTCAGCCGGAGAAGTGTGGAGAAAAGCAGTGATAAATTTGCCAAGCTGCACCAAAAACTTGCTTGGCTATGGTCAACTGTCATCGAGCCTAGGTGAATGATGATTTCCTGGCTGTAATTGTTGTCTGTTTTGATCACTGCCTCTTGCATAATTTTTTTTAATATCTTTGAAGAATAATTCAGAAAGGGATGATGCAATTGATCACTGTACCACCACGATCATCATCAATCTACATTTGTACAAAGTGAATTTCAGTCTCATTTTTTTCTGAAAACTGGCAAAGGCTCATATGGAATGAATTGATTTCCGATATATAAATAAGTTATAGCAGAAAGAATGCTTCCTGAATGCCAGATGGCCAATGATGCTGTATTATAAAGCTTCCCCTTAAAACTCTTACAACTTCACTGTATCCAAATCCCTTCTTCTCTTGGCTTCTAAAAAAGCAATTTTGCATTCATTTTAAATAGTTTAATAATGCCGATGAGGCTCTTATGCAACATAGTCGTAATAGCACATATAATGGGCAATATGAAAATGAAAGATTCATATGATTTTGCAAAAGGATTTATGACTGGCCGGTAAGTATCCTATAAGTAGAAAACTTCAGACTGTTTGCCAGTATTCCAGAATGTCAAGAATGAATCATTGAAGTAATAAACAAGTCTATACAGCAATTCGTTAGACATTCCTGTCTTGGGTTTTGAAAATAAAATGCTCTATTGCTGACTAACGGAAAGGTCATGTTGCTATTTACCTTCTGCTTCTTCTGCAGCAGTCCAGTTTCCAGTAGCTCTATTGTCTAGCCTAAAAGTTTGGACTATAGTCGGCAGATGATTTAAGTAGTGAGAACTATTTACCTACGGCTCTTACGTAAAAAACCCGTTTTTACGAATACCCTTTTTGATTGCCAGATTCAAGTAGCTCACTATGGCTTTTTATGAAGTATCCGTACCTTACCTAGGTAAGTTAAAATTCTAAAACTTCATGGCAGACAATAATTCTAAGTTATAAGTTTTCAGAAAGCAGGAAGAAGCACCTGTATTCTTCCTATCTTCAATCGCATTATTCAATAAACAGGTAACTTTACAAACAGTGTTGATAGCATTTTCAGAAGAGCTATACCTTACAGAAAATGTTGTGCAAGTCTTGTCCAATTTCTCATTTTCTTGTTTCGATTGTTGGAACGAGGTTAAGGAGGAATATTGTATCGTATTGTATTGTAGTTGGGTGTTTAGTAACAAGTATGTATCTGGTGATATGCGGATTAAGATCGGAAACTAAAGATGATGTTTGGGTAAGGATACAGAATCGACCCATATATGGATAAAGATTAGCGCAATGAAAAAGGTTTAAGTACTTGAGATTTGGCACTTGACAAATAACTTATCACCAATCCTTATCAGAAAATTGAGAGAAGCAATTGACTGGCGAGAGAAATTGAACTATATCCTAGTTAATACTGCATAAACGGTGACGAACAAATAAGAATAAGTGTGATGCTTTGGTTAATACACTGGTAATACATAGTTAATACATATATACTAGTTAATACGGTAATACACTAGTTTGGTTAACACACTGGTATGCGCCAGTCAACGGTAATGTTGAATAATCTGTTTTAGCGATGAATTTATTTTTATATTAATCTGTTGGTTGGGAGTTTGTTAAGTGCTTCTAAAATGTCAATTGGAGTGTGCAATGAATCAAATTTCGAATTGCATTCTTCAAATATCTTAATTATCCAGCCAAAGTAAATGATCAGAATAATAAATCCCATCATCATTAAAGAAAGACTAGAAAGCGGGAAGAGGGCAAACAGAAAGAAATTGATAAAAAATTAAAATAAACTTCTTTCATGTGCAGCATTCAAACAATAATACTGATGTATTGCGACTTTTAAAACAAATCTCTCTGCTTTATGCTAACTAAAAAAAAACTTTGCCTTTTACAATTTGAATTATAATTTCTGAAAATTTCAATGTTTCGAAGTGTTTTACGTCACTTTTGTTAATTTTGTTAACTGATTTTTAAGCATCATCTCAGTTTTCATTACTATGGTGCATGTGTGCTACGGAAAAAAATTCGAATTTGCAAGTGTACGGTTGTCTACTTATACTGGACCTGAGAACAAATTTTACAGTCTCTGATTAAGTTGTCGTTCATCATATCATCAGTTTATCTCGTTTTGTCTGATCATCATTTCAATGATAAAACTAATTTTATTTTAAACTGTTTTTTCTTGAACTTTGCCTCTAAATCTTGTTTTTATGTTTCTTTTTAACCTTATTTCTTAAATTTAAAGTTATTAATTCAAGTGATACAACTTATAAGACTCTCCAATGACTGAAGGAGTTCAAATTAGAAAATAATCTATAAAAAATGCATGTGATAGTAGTCTTTAAAATATGTATCCTTTTGCAAATTTTCATGAAATTTTATTTTATTTTCTCAAACCAATATTTGAATAAGTTATTGCTTAAAGCATCCATTTGAATCATCCCAGTGAGAAGGAACATAAACATAAACAGGCACATAAACTTGGTAATGCAAAAACCAAAAAAGGACATTATTTGGCTTTGTCTAGATCAAACATTACTTTGTCATGACCTTTTGCTAATTCTGCTATAACTATCTGAAAAACATGATCCACCAAGAATCACTTATTCTTTGGGTAAAGGAAGTCTTTTAAGTGATTCTTCTAGATTGTATCTGTAGCATAAGGAATGATTTTGCAAGAAAAATTATTGGGAAGTTAGTTGTAATTCACGAAGCGTAAGTATATGGATTCTGAGGCCTAAAATAAGCATCAGACATCATTCAAAAGTATAAGGCCTATCAGCAGTTGTATTTCATAGCTTAGAGCTTAAAGTATTAGTTGACAACTTTCTTTGATTATTTCTTCATCACCGAATATGTGTCTGAATCCCTTTGTACAAGTGTCTTCTAGAAAAAGAAAAAAAAATGTCAAAACTGATGCTTATCTCTGCCTTGCTATCAGAGTGCTGTCCATTGCAGAACAATCATTTCACCCTTATTAGCCTCGATGACAGCATAAATTTCGTTGATGGCACCGATGCAGCAGGTTCAAAATTACAAGTTTACTTTTATGCCGTATTTTTTCGTTTTGCGGGTATTTATTGCGGCATATCACAAAGCTTCCAACAATAAAACAACAATAAAAGCTATTTAGAATATTTAATGCATTTTGCGATACACATGGATCTCTGCGATTTTGAATACATTAGTTTCCACATTAATTCTGACGAATTTTGTACTCAAATCAGTCTTTCGTTATACGGCAGGCATCGATTTACCGCTAGGGTGGAGAAGTTGAGTAATCTTCAAAACTTCTGAGAATGACGAATGTACCTTGTTTGACGAGCTTATTGTACGAGAAAAATCCTGATTCAATTTTTCGCAACTTCTGTAAAAAATTATCATCCACAGAAAGTATCTGCAACTTAATGCCTCTTAATATGCAAAAGGATCTTCGTCAAATATTCACACATAATCCAAAAGCAGCAGCACTAATTGGCATGTAAAACAAATTATATTTGAATGCTAGTGCTGGAAAAGTTTATGGATCCATACGCCAATCAAAAGTGAAACATATTGGTGTCACGAGATCCATAATATTAGCAAAGGAGTGAAAAGAAGCATTTCAGCCTCAAAGATCAGATGAAACTTCAGCAATAAAGTGATATTTTTGAAGAGGTTTCCAGTGGCCATGACTAGATTAT